CGCCCTGTTCCCCCCCTGCCCCCCCCCCAAAAAAATTATCTCCAGTAGCAGGCCTGAGCAATGCCGGATACATAAAGTACCAATTGTAGTGTAAAGTCTCAGTTTAGTTGCAGCTCAGCACATTTTATTGGTTATCAACCAACAATCAACATTTCTTTAGGAAAATAATTTAAAAACACACACAAAATAAAATTACATAAGAACATAAAGTGGGCCATACTGGTTCAGACCAATAATCTATCTAGCCCAGTATCCTGTCTTCTGCCAGAGGCCAATGCCAAGTACTTCAGAGGGAATGAATAGAACAGGTAATATCAAGTGATCCATCCCATGTTTCCCATTCTCAGCTTCTAGGAAACAGAGGCAAGGGATACTTCAGCACAGGGGTTTCTGTATTCCTGCCCATCCTGGCTAGTAGTCACTGATGGATCTATCCTCCATGAACTTATTTAGTTCTTTTTTTAATCCTTTTTTAGTCTTGCCCTTCATAGCATCCTCTGTCAAAAGAGCTCCACAAGTTGAATTTGCACTGCATGAAGAAATACTTCCTTTTGTTTTAAACCTGCTGCCTATTTCATTTGGTGACCTCTAGTTCTTGGTGTTATGAAAAGTAAACAATAGTTCTTCATTTACTTTCTCCTCACCAGTCATAATTTTATAGACCTCTATCATATCTCCCTCCCCCTTTACTCATCTCTTTTCCAAATTTAAGAGTCCGGGTTTTATTAATCTTCCCTTATCAATCCATTCTGGCTGTGAGGAAATTACACAGATTAAAATTAACCACTGTAATTTAAATATGGTTCTATTTGTTAGGAGGGGAAAATAAGCAATTACATAATTTGTAGACAAAAATCAAATTAATGTTGTGGGAACAGTTTCCTGGTGCTGACCAAAATTGTCTTGTCATATTTCATTTCTCTAGTCTGAACTGTTGAATTAGTAACTTATGTTGAGGAGACTGCTTCATACTACCTACTCTCTGAAGGCCAATTAATATGAGAAGTCATTTAATAAACTTCTTAAACCTGAAATGGAATGACCCCCATGACTTAGTAACGTCACTCTTTCACCACTGCACCCCTGAAAATGCCATATGCCACTATTAAAACTTCTTATTTCTTTGCTGGCATTTTCTAGATGATGTCTCTTCAAGTAATCTTGATGAGTAGAAACTACCCAGCTAAATGAGTGCTCTACCCTAAAGAGAGATGAAACAAAGGGGCTGTGTCTACACTGCACCCCTTTTCCGGAAAAGAGATGCAGATTAGACACATCGGAATAGCACAGTCCGCGGGGGATATTGTAGGAATAAGAGATCCTCCGGAAAAGGGCTTATTTTCCGGAGAATCACGTCTAGACTGGCGCTTTTCTCCAGCTTACCCCCAAGCCGGAAAAAAGCGGCAGCCATGTAAATGCAAATGCCGCGGAGGATATTTAAATCCCCCGCGGATTTTGCTATTCCGAAGTCTACATTAGCATCCCTTTTCAGGAAAGGGGTGCCAATGTAGACACAGCCAGGAAGTGTGTATTAAAATGTATTTGATTTGAAGGGAAAAATGATTCTAAATTAATCAGGGTAATAATTTCACCCGAAGAAAAGATTCACTCCTGGTACCAATATCAGATATGTTAGGTCACTCTGTACTGGCTCCAGTCCCTGGTACACCAGTCAGTATTGGTAGCTGCTACTGTTTCAATATCTTAGTGGCTTCCATCAAGGGTCTCCCTGGCAAGGAGAGAAGATCAGTCCTAATACCAGACATTTAACATGAGGAAAATCTGCAAAGGTCCTATGAAAACAGACTTTTCCTTGTTACTGGCCCAGTACTACTTTTTCATCTAGTCCA